GATGTATATTACACTATTGAGTTATAAATCTTGTAATTCGCAAGTCTAAAATTATAAATAAAAATAACGTGTGAGGACCACCTGTTCCTTCAAAAAAAAAAAGTAATTAATATAATATTTAGGTTTTGAATTATGGCCTGAATTTGTATAACTATATAATCAAAAAGAATATATATTAAAATTGATAATCTTAACTATATTAGTAATTCAAATATCAATATAATATGATTATCTTATATCAATTTTTTAATAAAATAAACTATTTATAGTTTTTTGATTTAAAAAATTTAAAAGCTAAATAAATGAGAAGACAATTCTATAATTATTCTTTTTAAATAATAATAAAATATTGGTTTTGTTAAATATTCAAGATAAAATTGCTATTATTTTATTATATTATTATTTTAATTTTTTTTAATATTAATTATTATTATTTTATAAATTTATTTTTGAAATTATTATTTATAAAAAAGAATAATATTATAATTTAAAATAATTATATATCAAAAATTATAATATTTTTTTTTCCGCTACAAATAAGCATTAAATGCAAGACATTTATTAAACATAAGTTTATCGTTATTACATTAAAAATTCTACACTATCTCATTTGATGGGAGTTAATTCTAGCCTATCACATGAAAAATCTTTAATTTGTAAGAACACCAAGTAGGTGGTAACAAACTATCAGTGGTTCATAAATGGCTAATACCTATTCATAAACAGCTAAGTTAAAGAAAACATTAATAAAAATTTTTGTAATTGGATTTTTAATGTGCTGTCTGGACCCATGAAACCATAATAGCAATTGTTTTTTTGAAAATAATTGATTGGATTTTGGATTTGTTGCTTAGATCTGTGAATTCATATGACAATTGTTTAAGGGCTGAGTAAGGCATGTAAAAAATCCAGTATTTTCATACAACTGTGATATTGGTATTGTTGGGGTGACTAGGAAAATTGTTGGGGTATTTTTGTTTGATGTTATTGTTGTTGTTATTGTAAACAGGTTTGAGCCGGTTTGATTGTTATAAGATGTAATTGTTGAATTTTGATTGGTTATTGAGTTTGTGTTGATTGTTTGAAGGGGTAGAACTGATTTTGGTTTTTGATATAGTGAAAAATTTTATAGGATTTTAAGTGGCATAGCATTGTATGTCATGAAGGTAATTAAGAAAGTTTGGTTGAGACAAGCAATAGACCCAGTAACTTTGCTTGAATATGACTTTAGGAATGAATTAATGGTATTGAGAATTGATATGAAGATGATTATTATAGTTGTTGAAAGGAGGAAAATGCATAAAGATAAAGTTATGAAGGAGGACTGCCACAGGCCTTTCACTATGCAATCAAAAAGCAAACAAGACTTTCAAACCTGCTTAACCTTATATCAAAAATTATATTATTATATGTATAAAACAATTTTATATAAAAAATAATACTTAATAGATTATAGTATTATATATCATATAAGTTTTATTTAATTATTTTCACTTGAAATTAAATTGATATCTTATAATCTGACCTATAAAATACCAATTATTATATTATAAATTTTCACTTGAAATTAAATTGATATTTTATAATATGACCTATAAAATATCAATTATTATATTATAGATCTATAAATTTAAATAATCAAAATTGTTTTATTAAATTATAATAAAATAATTAAAGAAATATATTTTATTAAGATTAATAAAATTAATTACTTAATATAATTTTAAATAATTTGAAAATTTTTATTTTTAATATATAAGTAAAGAATTATTATACAACTTAAAATTATATATAATATTAATTATTTTATTTTTATTAAGGTTGTTAAAACTTTACTTATATTGTACATTTATAAATTTTATAATTATCTTATCTAATTTTAATTTTTTTCTAATTTTTTAATAAAATCATTTATTATTATTATTATTAATTTAACATTTCTTTGTTAATAAATTTATATATAGTATGTTATAAATTAATTAATATAAACAGTTTTGATAAGCTTATACATTTGTAATTATATAAGAAAAACAATTTTTACAATATTAATTATTATTAAATTACTAAGTAGTAATATATTGTAATTAATATAAAAAAATTACTTTATTATACTATTTGTATTTAAATCCAGTTAAATATTTTAATTATTTATGTATAAATTTTTTTAAAAATTTTTTTTTATTTTTAAAAATTATATCATTATAATATTGATAAATAATTTTATTGTGTAAAGAATTTTGAATATATTGATATTTTATTTTGTTAAATTTTCTTTTTTTGGTAACTGTTAAATAAATACAAAATCAAAATTCATAAATTTAAACAAATGAAAGGTCCAAATCAAATTTATAGATTTAAACAAATAACAAAAAATCAGAAACTATGATTTTTATTATATCGAATTTTTTAATAATTTGTTTTCAAAATTATTTGTAAAATAAGAATATTGAATTTTGGAAATTGAAAAGTTATAAAAAAGAATTCGTATGTGAACGATTTTATTAAATAATTTTATTTTTAAAAAATAATAAAATATATTTTATATTATATACAATACATATATGGTATATGTGTGTGTAGATAATTAATCATAACTTTAAATAAAATTAAAATTAAAGTTTTAATTTTCTTCGATTTCATTAGGCGGATTGATAGTTGCACCGATTTGGTTAGATTAAATGTAAAGTCAAGTAATATTTGTGTACACGGTGCTTTTAGTTTTGATTTTAAAAAACAAAAAAAAAATTTTTTTTGCCTTATTATTTTTTTTATCATTTTCTTTTTCTGATAAACTCATATTGTATTAACTTTCACAAAGCGAAAATTACAATCAAATCAAATTCTATTTTTACTATTTTTAAAAAATTTTTTTGTTTACCGATTAATTCGAATTATATAATAATCTATGTAACATGTCTCTTGCGATAATCAAACTCCTGTGACCTTGTCTCTATCGTTAATCTAACTCCTTTTACCAATTCTTCAGAAACCCAAGTATGGAATCGTAAATCGTCAGTAAAGTATTTCAATGATATGCTCAACGGGATTGCAATTCCATTACATACCATTGGGGTACGATATTTTCCAGACTGCCTACGAATTCATCAGAAGTGATCGATACATCCATTACCTTATAGGGAATCGATAGAAACATCGGAGGATAAGAATTCCGTGTCCATATTACACCGAACCATCCGATTTTAGCAAAAAATAAATGGACGCACATGGTGGATCTGTATCCCGCAAAAAGGTAGAAATGAAATATCGGGCCTTACGGGAAGAATATTTCCTTTGCATTAGATCCTACTAGATCCTCCGTAGAAGCTTACCTGTTATGAGTGAGGAATTCGGTGCACATCCGCCTTACTTCCACTCATCCCATAAGAACTGTTGCATCAAATAAGCATATATTAGATGGATTAATGAATAATGAAATGAGATCTCATGTTGACGGTCGATCCATAAATGACCTTTAAAATCGATATGCAATGATAATCCTTTGTTCATATATTATTTTTCTAAATAATTTATGAGAGTGGTGTAAATAAAGACATAACCTATGTACACATAGTAATTTGATCATGAAATTGATTTGAAAATGTGGAATGTGCGAAGGGAGGAAAAAAGTCTTCCTCGTTGGATATGGTCATATGATCGAAGTGAGAGTGATCGCCCGAACTAGCGGGCAAGCGAAGGAAATGGAGAATCAATTGATACAATGTTCGTGGATAGAATGGATATAGGAGAATGGTGTTATATGATTTGTGATCGGCCATTTTAATATTCCTGTAACAAATGCTCAAGGTGTCTCAATAATTTCTTTACGTATTTGATAACTGACACAAGTAAGTCTTGGGCGTTTGACGAACATCGTCTGGCAATAAAAAAGATAAATTAAAAGGTGTATATTCTAAACCTCACTTATCTTAAAAAAGAAATTGATATATTGTATAAAGGTTCTAATCTGAACATTCATACAAAGTTTCATTAAATGTTCATTGAGTCAGCCAGTAATTTGTGCCTTTAGGCGTTTGCACAAGACGATTGATAATGAAGAGTCAAGCAATGAGTTTCCTGGTCTTAACTAATGCAACGTAATCTCAAAAAAAAATTTTTTTTTATGAATTAATACCGTTTTAGGGTTCATTAAGCGGGCTCTCCATTAATGAAAAAAAAGGGAAAAATCCGCAATTTGTTTTTCTAAAACAAATTGTGAGCGGATAGACTAAAAAAAGCCTTCATTCATCTGCGTCCAGGAATCGAATATAAAACCATATTCGGAAAGTAAATAAATTCCCATATTAAGTTACCGCGCCTTTAGTTTACCAAATAAATCACGTCAAAGAGTTTCGTTATCAAAGACGCAAACTTTACATTTTGTAAATACGCTTAGTAATTTATTCCTTGATCGGATTAAATTATTCGATTCGATTCTAACTTGCCCCATTCTAACCGAATACGATTCACATATTGTGGAAACTTTGAGTATATGCATATCAATTTCTTTTCATTCATTCGGAAACGCTAGCGTTCTCTATTCGTATACGACAACCCGAAATCGCGTTATTAAAACTTGATCTGTGTGCTAAATCAGAAATACATGCTATTGGGCGATACGGATGCGTATCTTCTAAATTTGACCTGAATGCAAATTTTCGTCAAATAAATTCCAGAATTGATCTTGACCTCGTCTAAACAATAGAGGCAAGGAAATCGCATGATTGAACTCACTCACATTTGTGTATGATACATGAAATCCAAAAATCCAAATACCAATATTAAGATTATCACAACGTTGGCGTTCGTTTACCATTTTCATTTTTCCGAGTGTACTTAACGTTTGATATTCGGCTGTGTTGCCTTAAAAGGAATGATAATCTATTCCTCATTCTGCAATTGTTAATAATATCGCGAACTTCAGTTGTCCTGTCAATCTATTAATTTTTCATAGTTCCCTGATGCGTGATGGTGACCAATTCCCATATTAACTCTTGCCAATCAAAAATTCCTTGCGAAACAATTCTCTTCATTTCCGAGATCCTCACCTTAAGCAAGAATCTTATCAATTATTATAATCGTACGTCGATTTTTTTAAAATTCATTACATACCACACAAAACAGAATTTGCTTGTAGCTCAGCGAATGATAGCAAATGATAGCAAATGATAGAGATGATTGGTATACGGTAGATTAGAAATAACAAAGATGCGTCCGTCCGTCTGTACCGTAAGTAATAAAGCTTCGGATTGACTTTTATGTATGTTATGCGTTCGACATGGAAAAGCAATATGTTTATTGCAAACATTTCATTACAAATAATTATTGCAAATACTGATTACAAATATTTACTGCAAATACTTATTACAAAACTATTGTAAATATCTATTCAATACAAATAAATATTCATTTGATCATTATTCCATGGTACGCATTGAATGAACTCATGTGTCTCGATCGTGAAATTATATTTTATCATGCGAGCAGACAACGAAATATACTGCACATGTCGTATCCCTCTTGTTTAATCAACAATCTGATTGATCGTTGTCTATTTTCGATGGTGCGCGTCCCATCATGGTTATAAGGCACAAAGCATCCTTTAAACATAGGGGTACTCTCAGTTTTGAAACACACTTATCTCTAACAAATACAATATACAACGTAATGCAGAAAAGAAATAAATAAAAATGGTAGGTCGTAAGTTACATCAGTAATCGTTGATAAAAATTCTCACGTCAAATGCGAACATTCTTATTAATTGAGTTAACGAGCGACTTATCGTAGGACGATAAAGTATTAATGTTCAACTGAATTCCTGACCGACATCGTTCGATAAATCTATTACTTGTGATACTGGCACTTCCGCGATTACTTGATGTCAGTTCATTGGGAATTTGATTGGAATTTGGTCCTTTGAAAATATGATTAGAATTTGGTTCATTGAAAGCTAGGTGGGAATTTGACTCATTGAAAGTTTGATGGGAATTCGGCTCATTGAAAATCCGGCGGGAATTTGGCTCATTGAAAATCCGATCGAAATTTGATTCAATGAAAGTCTTATTGGAATTTGATTCATTGAATGTTTGATTGGAATTTGAATTCGCGCGATAAAAGCTGTTGTTATATGTGGAACCATGATCAGAAGGTGATCGGCTGGTCGGCGTTTTCAAAAATGTCGTCAGATACTGTTCGCCGATCTCGCCGTAACCGTAATTAGCGTATTTTTTCGTGGAGCTACAATTTGGCCACAATTTGTTATGCAGCTTTTTGGCGCATAAAGAAAGTTGTATATACATGTATTTGTCCTCTGGTGAGAATTTTTTCCAAGCGGAACCAGCTCCGTTGGAAATTTCTTTGACTCGAGATCCTCCGTATGGACCGAGCTCCGCTACCTTTCTTGCCTGATAATCTTTTCTAAAGATCAGAAAACTATTCTTGTGACGTTTGGCATTACGATTATTTCGATTGTTGGGAGATATGAGTTCATATAGTGAGAGAAAAGATTTTGACTCAAACTCCCTTCTCTCTTCGCTTGTCAATACGGAGTTCAATATGTTATCGAGAAACTCGTCGGTAATATATTGGGTCCCTGGAAGGGCCTTTTGTAATGACGAGCATGAAACGCGTGAATAATGAATGAGTTCCGTAGGGGAATAAATGGATGATGGATTATCATACCGATGATTTGAGGTTGTATCTCTCATATTAAGAATGTGTTAAAATATATATATATATATAGGTAATTAAGATATTCAAATAAGGTAGCCGCCTGCAATCTTAACAACAACGAGTCATCGGCTCAACATCTGAACTTTTATAAAATTCGTAAAAACTTGTGCAACTCATCCATTATAGGTAAATAATAAATCAAATCGAATAGTATCATTGTAGCTAGAATTGTGTTAAATAACGAGATATCTAGAATTAACTTTGCAAAAATCGAATTTTCCTTCGCTCAAGTCTATTGAAGAGACGTTGATGACTTTTCCTTCGCGAAAACCTGTACATTAAATGATTTCTATGACAAAACCAACCGGCCCATTGATTTTTTCAATATCATCGGACGTTGGCAACATCTATGACTAACGCCTCACGACTAATCTCCTATAAGACAAAAACAAATATTAATTATTAATTGCTCTAATGATTCGCACAAAGTTTAGAGCTCAACGTTTTTAGACGCAAATTTAATTTGGTCATATTAATTATATATGTAGTTGACATTTCATTGGACATCGTTCGCAACAGCTATTATTATCCAAAATTCAATCTAACTTCTATCGGCAGAATACTCAGTTATATCATTCGTGTGTGTGGAACAAGAGAATGTGCAACATTAGATTGGCTCTCTATACTACAGGAATTCTCTCAATATGGATAATCGATTCTTTTTTGTTAATGAAAAAATTCCTCGATCAAGTTGACTTCTCCATATTGCGCATTATATTGGCATCTATATATGGAAGAATTTGACTGGGTCGATTCATGGCGTATAATAAAGATTCTTAGTGACATATCACAAAATTGCTTACGTTGCGAGTACAGCTCACGAGAGTGGATAAACATCGGTTATTAAGAAGATCCCTTCGATCATGAAAAACGCTCAACAAAGAAAATATTGAGTGAAGTTGAATCTACAGTACAGCACATACAGCATAACAGATTTTGATCATGCACACAATATAAAAAAAAGTTAAACAAATCAATTTTGTACCGTTCTGATTGCCGATTAAAGTAATTCGCAAAATCTTTTTCTAAAAACCAAGTGATATTAATGGATAAATATAGAAAATCACTCGAATATATGCGACGGGTTAATCATTTAAGTGGCAGTTAAGGTTCGATTCCAAACTGTTGGGTTTAGCTTCACGTCAATCTCGTCAATTCAGAACAACTAACTGACGCATGCATGTGATCGTTAGAACTTGAATCCTTATTTCACCATTCTCCAGTGTAGCTCTTCATATACAAAAAATGGAATCAAAAATTCTCTCGTCGATACTAATTGTTTCTTTTGTCCTGACGAGTGTCGTTGCCGACGATGATAACACTAAAAGCGAAACACCCAATGATACCGCTAATAACATAAAGCTTGGGTTCGGTCTTACTGCCGTGGCGGCAGGCGCCTCCATGATAGGATCAACCATACCATTCCTTGACCTTGTCTTCCCATATATTCCAGGATGGGAGGGCTTTCGAATTACACAGTCAAAAGGTTTCCTTGCTGGCTCCCTTGCGTTCTCCGCGGGTTTGCTAACGTTCCTCACGATAAACGATCTTTTCTCGAACGCCGTTGACTCATTCAACAATTCGAATGCCTTCGACTCGAAATATTCTAACATCGTCGCAACTTCCATATTCAGTGGAGTAATCTTGTTACTCATTCTAACCAAAATCGTTATCAGTCGCTTGAAAGGAAAGTTCGGTAAAAGAAACAAGAACGATGGGGAAGTGGATATTGGCGACAAAGAAAAGAGCAATGATGAACAAATTACAAAAATACATCTAGATGCTCACCAACTCAAAATCTTGGGTATTCAAGTTGCCATCGCCTTGGCTATTCAGTATACAATCTCTTTACACTTTCCATTGATTAAATCTCTTCCGTAATTAACTTTTATTTCGTGTTCCTTCCCATTTCAGCAATATCCCGGAGGGGCTGGCCAATTTTGTGACCACCGTTACTAATGCCAAAGTTGGAATCTTATTTGCAATCGCACTTGCATTCCAGTAATTATCTTTTGACGATTCCTTCTCTTGTCATCCCAACGCATTCAACTTATATCACTTTATTGTTTTCAGTAAAGTTCCAGAAGGCCTTATTATATCTTTGCCAATATATTACGCTACCGGTTCACGATGGATAGCTTTTATTATCTCTGGGGGTATGGTTGCGATGACACAATTCATAGGAGCTCTTATCGGTTATGCTCTCGCTGAAAATACGTGGAATGGTGTTATCTCGGGATGTATCATTTCCGCAGTTGTAGGCTTTCTGCTCTATGTCATCTTTCATAGCATGTTTCCGTTAGCGCGTCGCTACGACCCTGAAGATAAATATTGCACATACGTAAGTGAAATTATTATTTCATGTTGACTGCATGATTAATGAAAGGCCAGGTGTAAAGGACTGCACATTTACAAATTTTTCCAAATCTCTATCGTTCTTTGTTGAACAGTGTACATGCGGTGGCTTCTTCTTTGTTGCCATGGTCGCGTCACTTTTATCCATATCTGGTGTTGACGCATAAACTCAACATGAAAGTTCGCACGCGAGGATCAAATCTTATTATTAATCCTTATTCTATTGCCATGCTCAATGTGGACAAAAAGGTCGCTTAACAAAAAAAATGGCATTTGTATTTATTTATTTATTTATTTATTGTAACTTTTATATTTGTTAAATAAAATGTTTTTTGAAGTTTGAAGTTTTAATGAAAAAATCAATAATAATAATAATAATAATAATAATCCTTCAAATTATTTTTCATGCATCGATTTTATTATAATGAAAACAACCAAAATGATAAAGATTTTCGTATTTTCCTAGCATACAGGCTCATTCAAATTTTGGTAAAATCCAAAATTTTTAGGCAATTCCTTATTTCATTGGAATGCTATAATTCTTAAAAAGAATTTTCGAAAAGTAAAAATAAATTTATTTATACTGTATAATAGTTTTTTTTATAATAAAAATCATTTTTAATGATTATACAATAATATTTTTTTATTTGATGTATTTATTTATTTATTGTCAATCAGGCTGAAGACATTTGTTTGTTAAATCACGTTGAACCATTACAATAAAAAGTACATATAATAATTTGTTTAATTCGGTTTATTTATTAATAACATTTAGATTTCTAAATAAATTTATAGGAATCATATATCGCTTATTCATTAAATAGAATTAAATTTTATTTACTTGCTTGACAAAATTATAGCTTGCAGACCGACTTTATAAGTTAGATACTATGAATTCAAATTGGATTTTTAATTTAATTTTAATTGTTTATTGTCATGTGTATTCTGTAAAAATATACATACACATTATTTTATTTATTTTATTTACTTTGTTAATATACTGTATGTTTGAAATTTTTGATTTTTTTTGATTTTTTTTTTTATGAATTGATTTTTAAAAAAATTAATCTTTTATATTGTTTTTTTTTGGAGGGGGTTTCCATAGGTAAATATCATTTCTTTATTTGATATTGTATATAACAAGATATACATTGTAAAAGAAGCAACATCTCTTATATATATAAAGCAAAAAGTTAAATGCTAGCTTGCTTATACATACACATCTAGCTAATATTGAAAAAGAAATTCAAAACAATACTATAAAAAAAAAACTCTTTTCTGCAAATCTCAAAATTCTTAAAAATTTCCTTTTTTGGTAGCACTAAAAAACACTCAAGAATATCCAAAGAAACACTTAAAGAAAACACCAAGAGGAAAAACTTCACAACATATTCTTGAAAACAAAGGAGAACAGACACAACAGGTATACTGTGGGTTCAAAAAGTATACTAATTCTTTTTTATTCTTCATTTTCAAAGATAGATACTTGTGATTTCTTATTGGAAAAGAAGGAAAAACAAAGAATACAATTCTCAGTAAAATTAAAAAAGAAAGTCAGCACCATACTTCACAAGCTGCCAACCAATTATGCATCAGGTTAGATACCTCCCTAGACACTAGCAGGATTCAGTATTAGCCAGATCACGCTTGATAAACCAGGCAACCTCGCATACCAATATAAAATCAGAAGGGTACCAAGACTTTTTCATCACTGTGATTGAAAAAAAAAATATAGATCTCAATATTTTTGAAGATAAATAACAACCATTACGCAATCAAATTTTTGTTAAGGACAAAAAACCAGAGACAGGTTACCCTCCTAAAGATCAACAGTAACACAAACATGTACTTTTCAAAACCAAACAATAACAATAACTACCAAACAAACAAATACAATCCAAAAACACGAACATGTATAAATAACAATCCCAAAGGTTACTAAAGTTAGCTTACTCCCAAAGTAAGATCTGCAGTAGCACAAACATGTTAACAGCACAAATTAAGCAACAAATCACAATTAGAACTTATCAAAACAAGCAAATCACAAATCTCTTGACAAAACATGTGTCAATCTTAACCCTATATATCAAAAGAGATACAACTATACCATAAACATATATCAAAACAAATAGCAAAACAAACTAGTTTACACGTGTCAACCCAGCAAAAGTCCAAAACAATGACTGACTCCAGTTCAACCCAAATAAAAAACCTAATAATAGAACATCTCAAAACAATTGAAGACAATCACAACAAAAGAGAACAAAGGTGGTTTCGTACTTTAATTAAAGATAATGCAACAAATATAATATCAAGGTTAGCAAATCTAGAAGCAATTGTAAACATTATAGTTATAGATGCAGTAGCCACAAAGCTTTTCAATATCAACTCATATACAGCTGTAAAATGGATGTTAGCTAAGAAATATATCAAACAAATCTAGACATTCAATCAACTAAATATAAACATATTAAACAGATACATATTAGAAGATCCATAACAAGTATTCCAGATTGTGAATATCTTACATTCAGTCCAGGACCCATGATATGCACAAAACAAAGATCCAGAAATTATAACACCCTCTGGACAACTTGTGACAGAAAGTAGTAATCATAACTATTAACAAAAAGTAGTTAAAAGAAAAGTTATTATGAATAAACAAACTTTAGATAATATAAATAAAAATGAGAAATACATTCAAATACCCTCTTCCCAAAAGCATGCAAAATCAGCCAATATCTCAAATATTGCAACACAAATGAATACTATACAAACAGAAAAAAATCTTAATAATAAATTCCAAGCAATAGAAGATATAGTCTCAAATTTCGCTGTGCTTGAAATTAATTTTTAATTTTTTAAAAAAACTTATTTTATATAATATCTTTTTTAATATCTATCAAAACCTAATGAAATATATATCATTAGAAAGCTTACAATCTAAGAAATCCAATAGTAATAAAATTAAAAAATTTTAATTATTGGTTATTAAAATATTATTATTTAACTTTAAAATTTTTTAAAATTTTTGTAGATTAATATCTTCATCAATATTAATTCAAATAAGATAAAAATATAGTGATTTAATAGCCAACATATTGAATTATTAATATTTAAATTTTTTTTTAATTCTAATTATTAGGTATCGAGATAATTGAATTTAAAATTTAAAATTAATTTTAAGCACATACTGTATATAATAATATAAGATAAAACCCAAAGTATAGATAATAGCTATATATGGCCTTGGATCCAGTTATTTTTCTCTCACACAAGTTTTACCTTATATTATTATATTTATTATTATTAAAAAAACAATAAAATAATTATTAAAAAAAATAAAAAAATATATTATTATATTAATTTATTTTAAGATTTATATTATAAATTATAAATTATATAATTTTAAATTTTAAATTATGGGATAATAAATTTATACCCTAAAAATTTTTGGTTTACCTTCAAAAATAATTACTCATGTATTAAATTCTATTGTATTTTAATATTTAAAATCAGTTTTAAAGTTTTTATTTATTATATTTTACAAGTATCATTTAATTTTTCCATCTGTTAAAATAATAATTCTATTTTTATAGTAAGGTTTCATAACTATATAAAAATAAATTAGTAAATATAAAAGGCAATACAGGACAAAAAAAAAACTATTTTTTATTTATTACACATTTCTTAAAAATTTTCTTTTTAGAAAGTCTTTTTTCAAAAGAAAAAAAACTTTTATTAAAAAACTCACAAATATACTAGTTAACAATATTATACTATACTCTTTCTGAAGATATAGTTTTTGCTGGTAAAGAAGCTGTAAAGCCAAAAACAGCTTCTTTTATTCTCAAACAAATTATCTTAGGTGGCAAACTAAAAATACTATTGGAATTTGGTTTGACTTTTTAATAACAAAAAGTCAAATGATATTTCTTATATAGCTAGAAGATATAAACTAACAAAATATAACAATAATATTGACATAATAAAATTTTTTTTTTTTTTTTTTAAAGTGTAAATGCGGATCCGCAGTGTTTTTATTGATAAGTACCTTATACCAATTACATATGTAACGTTAGGACTCATACAAGTCAATACATTATATACTCTATGTAAATTATCCCCACATACCACCTTATGTCCAGCGCCCAGGAACCTATCACCTTGAGTGATTTCCCTTGTAACATTAGATGGAAACCTATAGGGTATAGAAATCCTACCACTAGTTTAAACTACCTAACCTATTGGTTCAGCTTTGCCTAAAGGTGACTTGATTAAGGGGGTTAGTCCAAGTGCCTCCTCACTTTATCACCAGACCTCAGATCACATTTCTAATGGCCTGCGGCTTCTTTGTGGAACTGTAACTCTTCTCACCACCTGTGGCTGGTTATTTTTCAAACCAATTAGGCTCTGCACTGGATTGGAATATCCTGGCTAGGGTTCTAACCACTATTGAAAGGAGCAGGTCAGGGTTTGATTAGGATGGGGTACAGCCCAGTCTGTATATTCAAACGCAAGGGAAGTCTTGATTAAAAAAGTTGAACATATGCCTCTTGGCTTACCATGTTGCTCAACCACCCTTGGCATACTTCTGGCGATTATTGTAGCACCATCCAGACGATCGTCACACCTCGACACCTTTTCTGGAGATCACAATCCCAACGTCCTACTGGATCAGTGTGCAAATGACTTCCTATGGGAAATAGGGCTTAACAGGTTATGGCCCCAGATACCATTCTTAATTCAGTTCAACCGTCTTCACTTGGAGTTGAACTGGTATCTTGTGATCTGACCTGTGGAGTGTTAACCACTATACTATAGACCCACAGGTCTAATAATAAAATTTTTATATTCTATAGGTTTTATAATATTATATAAAAAATTGTTAAAAACAAAAAATTTTTAAATATTGAATATTGTTATGATATAGATTATCATCAAATATTATAATATGATTATTAAAATCAAATTTAGTAATAGAAAAAAAGTTTAAAAGAAAGATGTAAGGTTTGGCATATAATTCTTTATCAAAAAACTTTGTGTTCAAGGATTAGGGCTTTTTAAGAATTCCTTTGATAAATAAATTCTTTATTAGCTTTTATAAATAATTAAAATATCATTCGATCAGCTTTAAATACAGATACAGTAGTAAAGTAAACTGTTT